CAGCAGGCGTGCAGGCGGAATCTCGCTGTGCTGTTCCAAGGCTTTCCAAGGAGAACTCACACATTCCCGTGAATGTCTGTGGTGGGACCGAACCTCTCATTCCCCTTCAGGTGGATAACATATACTCTAGTGCAGAAGTGGTCTTTGAGAAAGACTTTGGAGTTTTTTCCTTTAGCTCAGTATTTAATCTGTGGGTATAAATGTACATTTTTATTCTTCAAAATATTTACAGATTATTTTTAGAAAGATGCCACTTAGAAGAAGAAAATATTTATTATTACATCAAGGATTGGTAAATCTCTTTTAAAGCTATTATAATATTGAGGATATTTAGAAACATTTACAAAATGGCTGTTAGAATAACACACACAAAAATATTCTTTCTTTCTGAGTAAAAAGCTGTATTTACAAATGCATTTGAAATAATGCACTTCCCTTTGCCTGGTATGTAGGAACAGACCAAATTTAACAATCCTAAAAATTTTAATCAAAGAACACTCTGTGAAATGGGAATTAATGGTGTGGACTTGACCTGGACCAAATGCAAGTCTAGTGATTGGTAAGGAAAGTTTTTATGGATCACAGGTGCTTCTCCCACCTTGGCATATGGGGAGACATGATACAAACAGCTACTTCCGAGACACTTTGAAAGGAGCTCTGATGCCGGGTCATCTGTACATGGCTTCCAGTGAAGCACTGATATTTTTAAAAAGTACTTAAGAAACCTCTTAGGTTATAGATTATCGTAAGGGCTTCAGAAGTCATTATATGCCCAAACTCAAATAAGATTCTCAAGTGAAAGAGAAATACCTTTTTAAAAAAAAATCTCTTTTCCAGTCTGTTCTTTGTTTCATTTATGTGAAACTGGGTGAGAAGAGTTCATTGCATGTGTTTATCTTAGCCCGATGGTGGAGGATTACTTCTTCCAGTGATGGGGAAACAGGCTGAAAATAGAGATTGGTATGAGAGAAAAGAAAGACGGTCACAAATATGGACATAGTTATCAGTGGAAGATGTGTAGATGGGGTATATTGGCATGGGGTTAGTTGAAATTTCAGAACATTTTATTTTGAATATGAAGTTTCTAAGTGAATATGGGTTCCTTTAGGGAGTGACATGGAGAAGGTAACTTAGGTCTCTTAAAGGTTCAGCCTCAAAGTGGGTTTGGGGTAAATTTAAGCCAAATGGGGCCTCTTTACAGAACAGCAGACAGTAGTCAACCGGTTATGGAGGGCTGTTCTTGTGCAGATGGTTATGTCTAAACTTAGGAAGCTTGGCAAACTCAGGCTTTAGCTGTTCAAAAAAAAATCAAAATTAAAATAGGTTCCACATCAGACCCTTCTCCTTATATTCACACACCCAAAACAGCCAAGATACTGTGATACCTGGCCTATGACTGGCCCTGCTGGAAAAACAAACAAAAACCCCACCATGTTATCCTCCAAATGGAGTGATCAGTGAAAGTGTGAGGGGAGAAAATGAGGAAAAGTAGCCCCCTCCCTAAAAGCACGGCTGTGATAGTCTGTTTGTAAGAGATAGACAAAATGAATTACATAAGTATTCATTTCAGTTAACACACAATGCTAGCTATGACATTTTACATATTTGTCTAATTTTGAAGAGACACTGCTCTGTAAAAATTCACAAACCTTGCCAAATGTATTCTTGGACAAAATCGTAGAATATTTTGAAACTGGTTTTTGAAGCCCAGGACAGGTAAGGTGGTAGAATTCATATTTTGGTTTCCATGGTTTATGGCTTGTCAAGCCTTTATCCAGGCTTTGCTCAATAGGCTAACCCAAGTCTCATTGACTCACACAAAATTCCATTTGTTTTAGTAAGCACAAATGCAGTGTCTAATTTGTATGGCTCAATAATCACAGCAAAGCCTAAACTTGCTGTACTTCTCCCAACATTGCCACCAAATGTTGAATAAAGGATGAAACTGAGAAGAATCAACACACTGGCCTTTAGCCTGAGGCTGATCTTTTTCTGGAGTCACGTGTATCATTGGTCACTCTCCACAAGCTGGAATTGTGACTTTGCCTGCTGGAGGTGTGAAGGGATGGATTTTTGGTTTTCTGTGTGTTTTTCTTTCTCCAGTTTGCAAAAAACAAACAAACAAAAAACCACCATATATTGCCACCTTCCCAGAAAGGCATCCCAACATTCATGAAAACTTTGTAAATATAGTTTATTTACAGGTAGGAGCAATGACTGAAAATTTATTTTAAAATAAAATTTAAATGTAATACTAAAATATGGTGACCTGGGGATTGCAATGCTAGGAGACTGTCCCTCACCCTTCTGCTACTTTCTGTGCTGTTGCACTTACCAGGTCTTAAACACACAGTGATCTGGTTAAGATCTGACTGAAAGCCACAAAGTGGGAGACATTGCTTTGTCTTTCTTCTTTGCAAAGATGGCACAGGGAGAAATGCTATGTCTGACAGGCCACATGTCAGATAATGTAAGAAGAAATAAACTGTTGTTTCCAGGGAAAAGATATGCTTGAAGATCCAAACATGAAAATAAACCCTGCACAGTACATTGACTCCTTATTGTGTAGCATTTAGTGTGACCTTACCGTAGCCATTTATTTTTCTTGACTGAGTCTTTGGAAATTACTCAGTGAATTAAAAAATAATTCCTACCTTCAGTAGGATTTTCGTTTATTTGGTCATCTTCTCAAGGACCAGGAACCCTGGGTTGAAGTTTGTGTCCACATTTTGTAAGGGAAGAATGCAATTCCTGCCCTGCTTTCCTCATGAGATTCTTTCGAGGGTCAATGGAATCACTGTAACTCTTAAATGATATATGAACTCCTCGTGTTATCATCCACACAGCATTTTGCAGACTAGGTCGAGACAGGTGCATTACCTTTATATTGTCATACAGAATGAGACCTAAGAAATTACAGTGGAATCTTAGGACTTCAGAATGTGTGAACTCCTCGTGTTATCATCCACACAGCATTTTGCAGACTAGGTCGAGACAGGTGCATTACCTTTATATATTGTCATACAGAATGAGACCTAAGAAATTACAGTGGAATCTTAGGACTTCAGAATGTGTCCACAGAAGAGCTAGTTTGTACTCCCTCACCTGAGTTTAACATTTGGAAAACTATAAATTTTCTTCTGTGAACTTTTTCATCACCCGAATAATTTAGGTTTGACTGAATTGAAATTGTACCCGTAGAAAAAGTAGGAGGTGAAGGAAGAGGAAAGGGTAGATGGCAGAGCAGGACTAGAATTCTTTTCCACCTTGGCCGCCACCTGACTTACTGGAGGTTCAGAAGGGCAGTTCCCCTTCCACAGAGAGGGAGCTTGGACCCTGAGCCCTCAGGCCTAAAATCACAAGTCCTGGCACGTTTGAGTGGGGGACTAACAAAGGGAGCAAAAAACAGGCACAGAGTGAAATGAATTTAGAAGTATCTTGCTGAAATTTGGAGGAGGAACATAGATTATGAGTGAAATCAGCGTGGGTGGTAAAAAGAAATTAATTCCAATCAGCATGGAGGGCAAATAGAAATTAATTATATTGGTTCTATTGCTATTAATTTGAAGTAGGTATTGAAATCTATTTATTAATGTGTTATTGTTTTATTTTAGGACATGTAAAAAATATGAATATTCCTAACATTCGTTGGTTCACCCTTACTCTTGGTTTGTCCTCTAACCTAGTTTTCCCACATGTCCTTTAGCTCGTGGTTGCTCCTACTGCATGGTTTCTGGGGACTGCAGCTGGATTGGTTAGAGAAGGGATATGGTAGAGGTTAGAGTGGTATATCTAGTAACTAATTAACCAAAGTTTTTCTAAAGCACAAATTCAGTGCTGTTTTTGTTGTTTACCTGATCTTTTTTTTTTGTCTTTTTTTTCCGTGTCCGGCAACGGATCGCAACCCTCAGTGTTGCCCCTGCTTCCCAAGCAGCACACTATCCAGTGCGCCACCGGGCCGGCCCTTACCTGATCATCTTAATGAGCCTTTACTTGCCTTTGTGGCCTGGATGTCTGTTTAGATTATGAAAGGACAATTGTTGTCCTTAGGTGAATGTTACAATAAAGACCTGGAGGAAAGCTCAGTTCATTGACAAACTGCAGCAAACGACTTGTTTCCTTGTTCTCATGGATTTTTTAAAAGCTGTCTTAACTCTTAGACCTATCCTTTGTATGTTTCTTTTCTTTGGTAGGTTTTTTTAATGTCCTTTTAGAGACACACTGAAATATTTACACGTGAAATTATGTGATGCTTGATATTTACTCCGAAGTAATCTGGCTGGGGGTGTCAGGGGTGGGATTGGCAGAGGGGGAGTTGATGGGAGGGAGTATATATGAAACAAGATTGATCAAGTATTGATAATTATTGAAGCCAAGAAGTAAACACAACTGGGTTGTTATTTTGTTCTCTCTCCATTTGCATGTACTTGAAAATTTCCAAAATAAAAATTAATGCATATCTATAATATATACATATTTATACATATGTATATATTCCACACAATTAGTAAACTTGCAAAGTTTCTTCTAGGTTTAAATGTTAAAAAGAACCTTTACCACTACGTACTTGTTAGGATGACCAAACTCCAAAACATTGACATTCACAAGTACTTGTAATGTAAGAATTAGGAAATAATGCATAAAACTAGAAGATTCCTCTGGTGTACACTGTTACAGATCTGATAACTTTTTAATACCACACATAAACTTAGAAGTGAGACTCCAAATTGTGTTATAAATTGAGACTCTCAGAATATGAAGAATGTTTGGGACTAGTTGGGGGGAATGTAAAATGATACTGCATGGAAAATAAATGAAATGTAATCATATTATGGCAGTACGTAGACGAGAGAAAGGGAAAGAGAAACTAAAGGGCTTAGCAAAGCAGGACTTTTACATCCCAGAGCTCTGCCATGGATCCTGACCTTGAATACGTGTCTTTTGTATTTCTGAGTTATTTTTTTCTTGTTGATAAATAAACTTGTTTGTTTTTTTCCTAGTTGGGGAATGGCAGTCAATGTGTATTCTACCTCGATAACCCAAGAGACTATGAGCAGACATGACATCATTGCATGGGTTAATGACATAGTATCTTTAAACTACACAAAAGTGGAACAGCTTTGTTCAGGTAAGAGATTATCTTTTGAATATTTACCTAAATGTTTACTGTCTGTAACATGGAATGTGATTTTATGAACCACAGATGATATATTTTGGGTAGGTAAAGTATATGTCGGTATCAATATATAAAGGGGGAAACTCAGGTATAACTAAAATAAATATGGGGGACAAATGTCTATGAGCATCTAAAAGCATAGAACCATCCCGGTGCATATTATGAAAGGTCTCTTGCTTGAGCTTTGTAAAGCCTTCTCACTGTCCCCGAGCCTCTTCTCCCTCATGCCTTGTCTGCCACCACACTTACCTTCTGAAACAGCAGCCTTCCTTAAAAACCTTCAGGGCTCCACATTGTCCTTTCTGATTAGGTCCCTTCCATTCTGGCTGCCGCCCACCCCTCTTCTCAGCCACACAATCCTCATCCCTCTCCCTTAGCCTCAGCCCCACAAAATACCGTTCCCTAAAGCCTCCTTCCTTTTTGCATCCCATAGCTTTTTTTTCATGCTTCCTGTGCTAAGAAGCCCCTTCTTTTCCCTTGTGGTAAAATTCTGTTCACACCTTAAAATCCAGCTCAGCTTCCACCCGCTCTGTGAGTTATCCCCCAGCCTCCCAGGCTCCACAATATCCTGGATACATTGCCCACCCTCCAGAATAACACTTGCCATGCTGTGTTATAATATCTGACTACTCTGTGAGTTATCCCCCAGCCTCCCAGGCTCCACAATGTCCTGGATACATTGCCCACCCTCCAGAATAACACTTGCCATGCTGTGTTATAATATCTGACTCCTACTGCCGCTGAAGGTACTGAGAGTCCTTGAGGACAGGACTGTGTTTTATTCTTTGTTGAATGCCTGTGGTGGCACCGTACCTGGTATAAAGTAGATCTGCAAGGAATGCATATTGTGTTAAAACTTGTTTAAAGATGCAGCAGCCTCAGTGATAAAGTAGGGTAAACGTGCCATTAGTAAAGTAATTGTTTTTTAAGTACAAGTATTTATCAAAGAAATAAATAGTCCTCCTTTGGAAATAGGAAGTATTTTCTGCTTGTAAACAAATAAGTTAAGAGAGTTCCTCTCTGCCTCTGGCTCCAATACAAAAACAGTATTAGTTTGAACATAGAATATAGTACAGAAATGTATTTGTGTGAACTTCTGTTAGAATAGATATGGAGGAGTCATCAGGTTTAGCTGACGCAGTTACATTGGACGTTCTGCTGTGTTTCCCAGTGGGTCGTGTATAAAAAAGATTTTGTGTGGTAGTCAGGATTTGGAAAGCCTGCAGTAGTCACCCTCAGATCATGGCTGAGGTCAGTACCCACCAGTTCAAATATTATCTTCGTCAGGTCTAGATTCGACCAGGATAGACTAGAAGACTACCTTTCAGTACTGTTGACATCTCCTCCCCACCTTCATTTTTCCCATGAGGAAGACAGTGAGGTTGGCTAGAACTGAGACACTGCCTCACCCGCCTCTCTGTGCCGAGGCCTCAAATGTGAGGTCCTGTGACTTACGAGGTCAGTAGTGGGTGCTCACTAACCAGTTCTTTCCTCTTCAGTACAAGATAGAAAAGAGCTGATTTATGCTACAGTGATGTGCCAGGCCTACTGTTGTGGGCCTACTGAATGGCTCTAAAAGTTACTTTCAGAAACAACTCCTATTGCGTCTTACCTGACTTCAGATCTCTACTCACTCAAATATTGTTGTGTTGTTCTTGCTGTGCATTCTGGAGCTCTCTAATATTTTATTTTTAACTAGCTGCAAGAAACAAAAAGTTTCTCCATTATTAGCAATTCGTTTATTAATAGGACATTCCATGTTGTATTGTAATGGTTTGTGGAATTGTTCATTTTCTACAGTGCCTGAGAAATGCTCCTTTTGGCAATGAGTGAAAAGCAATTTGCAACTGCTAGGAGGCAAAGACAAGAATGTATATCTTACCCAGAAAGTAGGTATATGAACAGGTAGATAAGGGGAAGGAGGTTGATTATCAAAAAAAAAAAAAGAGACATGAGAAGGAAGGGGATAGGAAAAAGTCATAGAAAAAAATGCCAGTCATGTGTCTTAAAGGAACCCATGAAGAGATTCCTGTGCAATACACTTGGAGAATTTTTGGTAGCAAATGAAATGAGAATAAATCAAATTTTTTTTTTAGATATAGTGGTAAATGTTTATGAGCAGTATGCATAATCGTTGCAGATCTTTAAAATTTCTCATAAGGCAAATTCAACAAAATTTTAAGCAGCATTTGTGAAGGATTCTTGTACAGTTATCTTGAAGCATTGGTGTACATTTGCAACCATTTGTAGCTGCACTGCTATCGAGTGTGGCTTGATGACAACTCGTAGAAGCAATTTTGATCACTGTTGGCTACCTAAGGTTACATACAGGTCGATGGTTCAGAAGAATAAAGTAAGTTGAAAGGTTCCTTTCTGCTCTGAAACATCTTTCTTGCTGGAAAAAAAAAAAATATATATATATATATATACACACACACACACACACACACACACATATAAACCTCTATATAATAGACAGGTCTTTTAGGCAGTAGTTTTCTCAGTATAAACTGTGGACCATATGCATTTATAATCTCTTTGTTGAATGCCTGTGGTGGCACTGTACCTGGTATAAAGTAGTGAAAAAGCAGATGCCTGGGATCGCTGACCTTCTAAATCAGTACCTCTGGATGTAAAGGCTAGAAATCTGCATTTAACAAGCATCCCAAGTACTTCTGTGCTGAAGCCTACAGTTTGCAGTACATTTTCAAGAAACCCCAAACCACTAAAAGTGAAGTTAAATTATCTGAAACCTATCTGGCACACTCTCCTTATTCATAATTTAATCTGTCTCTGCAGCAGTGGCATTTAGCAGGAGGAAGCTATCTTTCTATTTATTTATTTATGAATTTATTTATACCCTTCAGTGTTCTGAAAGACATTTAAGGCAGCTAGGACAGTGCTGTTAGGATAAGAACAAAACTAAATATTGTTGACCTAAGTGATTTCTTCCTTATTATCCTTATGAATGGTCGAATTTGGGGCTTAATATTTTTTTTCTCCAACATTTATTTCTTTTTAGTTTACTGTGTGGGATTTTATTTTAGTAGTATGCTCTGGAAAAACACACCAAGTACCATCACATATTTAAACTGATTTTTTTCTCTCTTGTTCAACAACATCATTTCTTTACTCTTTTGTAAAGACCTTTTTTTTTTTTTTTATTTCCAGCTAAGAGATCTCTTTCCAGCTCAGTATAAAAACTAACATCCACTTTTCTTTGGCACATAAGGAGCTGAAATACTACCTCACATTGGTGTTATATTTTCTTCAGAATTTTCTGCCTCATTTGTTTCCACGTAAGCATTTTTAAGAGCTCTTTAAAGGACAGATGGTGTGAGAAGGTAGAACACTTGGAAATACATTGTAGTTGATTTCAAAGCAATGAAAATGACTTGCTCTTTTCTCCTCTGATTTTATCCCAAGGTTGCAACCTTATGAAAATTTTCTTTGAACATTAATTCTGGGTCATGTAATTATATGCATATTTGGTTTGCATTTATTTCTTTTGAAAAGCAACCTTTACGTTTCAAGTAAAAAAGTGGGCTGTATAAATGGAGAGTGGGCTACCAATGGACGTAAATACCACCGATAAGACAACAGTAGACTGCTCACCTAAATCTGTTTTTAAAATGAAGAATAATTGTGGATTTCTGATGGTGGAATGGGAGGGTTGAACCACATGTAATGTCAGACTGGTTCAGCTTTGAAATATATATAATTTTTTCCTATCAAATATTTTATTAAAAAATTTTTCTTCATCGTACATATTCATGGGGTACAGTTTGTTGTTTTAATACATGCATATATTGTATAATAATCTAATCAGAACAGTTAGCATATCTATCAACTAAACATTCATCATTTCCTTGTGGTTATAACATTCAAGATCCTCTTTTCTGGCTATCCTAAATATGCAATATGTTATCATTAGTTATTGTCATCCTAGGGCACCAATATGCTAGCACAGTATGATGATACGATATGATATTTGGGCGCATTCATATTGTGTACACTGGTCACATCAGGGTGCTTAGTATATCCATCACCTCAAATATTTGTCATTTCTTTGTGTTAGGAACATTCCACGTCATCTCAACTAGCTATTCAAAGAAACACAGTACTTTGTTGTTAACTGTAGTCCTTATACTATTATAGAACCCTAGATCCCATTCAGAAATATTTTATATTTTCATTCAATTGCTTTATAAAATTGATAGAACTTTGGGGTGGGGCAGGTGATGTTTTTGTTTTGCTTCAGTACCAGCTCCTATCAGTTTACTAGATGTTGATAAGGAGTGAGAGGGTGAACGGGCAGCATGGTGCTAAAGTGGGGAGGGAGAGTGTGATGGGAGAAGGAGATAATGCATCTTTTCCTCTTCCTTGTCCTCACCCTTCACCCCCAGCCCTAACATACCCAGCCTCCTCTGAAACTTTTTCCTGACATCCATTTTTCTGTGTTTGGATCCCCTCCCCTAGGCTGGATCTCAGCAGCAAAGTACTGGGGTCCAACACTGGGTCACTCCTGCCCATCACAAGGCTAGCATAGCCTGCCCTCTTCTCTCTGTGTGCCTTCCCTCCCTCCTTCCCACTCACTCTAGAGCCAAACTGACTTACAGCTGATGCCAAGATGCCATCCACGTGTAGGGTGGGCAGCACCTGCACTGTCGCTATGCTGGTTGAGAGCTCAGTTATCTTCCTGAGCAGTTTAGTATTATAATAAAATATCATTTGAATTAAACCATTTTTACATGGAAAATCTAGGTATTTTCCTGACTGGCTTGAAAAAAAAAGGTCAGGATTTGATTCAGTTTCAATTTTTGCTTCTCCAGATTGGTTCAAGCTTATAATAAAATATCATTTGAATTAAACCATTTTTACATGGAAAATCTAGGTATTTTCCTGACTGGCTTGAAAAAAAAAAGGTCAGGATTTGATTCAGTTTCAATTTT